CGGCTGCAGACATCCTGGGACCCAATTCACACGATATCCATACTTCTGAGGGGCCACATGCTGCTGCAACTGCCCCTCAGGGATGACATGGGACGCAATGTCTATGGCAGCCAGAATGTCAGGGTTCAGGTTGAATGGGTCCCATACCAGCATGGTTATTCCATCAGCAGTAACGTCCTCCCCTCTGGCATGCGTGTATGCGTACCCATGGTCACCCGCGAACACTTTCCCCTCTGCCACCTCAAGCTCCACAGGGTTCCGAAGAGGCGGCAAAAAACAACGAGCAGCAGGGGTGGGACAARCCATCGCCATCTTCTCCTCTTCAGTCACCTCCCTGTTCAGGTGCCTAGATGAGAAGCTGCCGTTTATATAACATGTGGTCCATACATTCCCCATGATATCACGCATCGGCACCTTCACACGGCCACAAAGAAGAGGGGCGTCATGTGGCACCCAACCCCACCATGGATCCCTCCTGGCATCAGTCTGTGGGCAAACCGAACTCGCTGCAGTGTCCAACCCGCCAATCACCCATGGCTCTCCGCAGTCGACACTGTCGTAGTCAAAATCATTGAGCCTCAACTCGCCCTTCGCGTCCAGAACATGCCACAGTTTCAACACATGTTGAGGTTTGTCGTCAGCGCTCACCTCATCGTTCAACCTCAGCACTCTGTCGAAGATGATTGACAGAGTCACGTCCCTCACGACGTCGCTTTGGGGGCGGGATATGGAACCCATTCCCCATTGACTTTGAACGCGAAGCACGGCGCTCCTCCAATGATACCCGGTTGAAGACGACCAGGCACCCAATTGATGTCATAGGGGAAGAGAGTTCCTGCTGACGTCCTGACCACATTCTCGTCTGCAACAACACACCCTGCATCATTCTCACTGGCCTCACCATCCGTCATCATGTCTGCAGTCTGCTCACAAATTGCCGCAAGGACCACTGCACAGTCWGTGGTGTTTGCTCCGGCCGATATCCCTTCGTTGCTGACAACTGCAATACCCTTGACTATGTCCTGGGTCTCCATCGCCCATGTCTCCACGCCGTTGACATTCGATTGAATCGCAGGCTCCATCTATTGCATGACACATCACATACATTTATGAGAATCCCTAGCAGCGACGTGGCCCCCTCACCAGAGAGAGAGAGAGAGAGAGAGAGAGAGAGAGAGAGAGAGAGAGAGACTACTGCGGGACAGAACGAGAACAACCAGCAGCGGTGTGCACTTACATGGCCCGCAGTAGTCAACCTCTCTCTCTCTCTCAAGCATACATACACTGCGTTAGAGGGCGGTTGGCTACTACGGGCCGTTGGGACAACAACCAGCATCGGTACACACTGACATGGCACGCAGTAGTCAACCCCACCCAGCTGGAAGAAAAAAAAATAAAATGTGGCACCAGCGCGAGGTTGACTACTGCGGGCCAGAACGAGAACAACCAGCAGCGGTGTACACTTACATGGCCCGCAATAGTCAACCTCGCCCATACAGGCAGACATACACTGTGTTAGAGGGCGGTTGGCTACTGCGGGCCATCGGGACAACAACCAGCATCGGTACACACTGACATGGCACACAATAGTCAACCTCACCCAGCTGGAAAAACAGAAAAAAATATGGCACCAGCGACAGGTTGACTACTGCGGGCCAGAACGAGAATAACCAGCAGCGGTGTACACTTACATGGCCCGCAGTAGTCAACCTCGCCCATACAGGCAAACATACACTGCATTCCGGATGCAGTTGGCTACTGCGGGCCATTGGGACAACAACCAGCATCGGTACA